ATGTCACTTTTGCATGTGTTTGATTTTTTTTAACATTTTATGACTGATTTTATACTTTAGGACATAGTACTCACCTTATAGTGATTTTATGAGTGCTTACTAAAAATTTGTGCTGAAAGAGGAATCAAAACTGAAATGGAAAACACCAAAGACCTCAAAACTACCTTGAGAAACAAATACCACAGTTATCTAATGGAATATCTGCAACTACCTTGCTTGCTAAGGTGCCTGCAACAAATTCTGTTGTTAAAGAATGGCTTAACCCTTGCCCTCAATATCTGTCTCTGTAAACATGCCTGTAAAGGAATTTCCCCTTGGTGGTCTTAGGGCACGTAAGCACCTGTGCTGGTAATCATGTAGACTGTAACTTAAACTCACCAATGTTTTAACAGTTAAATGATGCAGGGAAACCTATTAAAAAAAAACTGTGAAGGAACTAAACTTGGAGCTTGAGTTTTTCAGGAGGAAACTGCCAGGTCCATCAGCGTGAATAACACATTCCTAATTTCTCCATGTGTGGTGGGTCCCATGCCTCAGTTTCCCATACCAAGGGCATGCAATTCAGCTTGAGCTAAACCTCAGAGAAAGACAAGGAAGGAAGAGGCTCTGGGAGTAGTTGGGTAGGAAGTAGATGGAGGAGCAGCGGGGGAAGGGCTGCAAGGCTACTAAACAAGCCTCAGCTAGGCTGCCCAGAGGAAGGCTGCTGCAGGAAGTTCAACAAAGACGGAGCCACAGCAACACCGCCAGCCAGCACTCTGCACCAGCACTCTGTGGCTTAGTAGGTTCTCCTTCCTGAAGTACCAGTGCCTGACTGGGGAACAGTCTGTGTCTCTTCCTATGGTCTTATCAGGAGCTCTAAACCTGTCACGAGCATAGGTGTGACTGACGGACTGGAACTAGAGGTGTAAGCAGGGCTTTATCCACACACTCGGGTTACCTGCCTTTCCATTGTTGGGTTTCTGAGCCCTTCTGCCTCCTGTACAACTCCTCCCTGTGACCCCCTTTTTCAAGCCAGGAAGCCCTGGACGCTACCACAAAGCTTTCTGGTTCCAGACAATCCTTTGAGGTTTCTGATTTGTCCAAGCAAGCCAAGGCTGTGGGAGGGAAGTGGAAGTAGGAGTGGCTGGAAGACTGACAGCACTAGACACATGGACTCTGGGCCTCAGTTCTCATCTGTAGTACAAGGAGTTAGAGTCAGTCTTTTTTGTTTTTTTCTTATCTCCTCCCGTGTGTGCGTGTGTGTGTGTGTGTGATGTGTCCATGTGTGCATGTGGGTGTGAAAGCTACAGGTTGATTGACATCAAATGTCTTCCTCTGGCTTTCTACCTTATTTTTTTTTTTTAGAAAGAATCTCTCACTGAATATGGAACTCACTAATTAGGCTCAACAGGCTGACGAGTGAGTTTCTGAGAATCCTCCTGTCTGTACCCCTAGCACCAGGGTTGCAGACATGCTACCCTGTCAATTTTTACATGGGTGCCGAGGATCTTAACTCAGGTCTTCATGTTTGTGTAGCAAGCGTTTTACTGACTGAACCATCTTCTCATACCCAGTTATTTTCTTTATTGCCCTTTTACTTATTCTTTGGCTATGTTAGACTTTGAACCCATGGTCTGGTATATGCTAAGCTGTCACTCTTCCACTGAGCTATAACCCCAGCCCTTACTCTTTTAAAATGCTGTATGAGTTGTGCTTTTAATCCACAGTCATAAATTATAGCTACTATATAACCAATCTCTATTTAATTAATAGAGCCATGACAAAAGTCGCATGTGATCCCTGAAATGACACCAGTATTTGTGTTTGTTTCTGATGGTTTCTATTCTGTCCAGATATATATTTAATTTTAATGTAATTTCTAGCAATAGCATAAGCAGGAATTTATAGTTGCCATTTTTTGGTCACCATCACACTAAGCATTGTTTTTCCTTTTCTAATTGCAATCTTTTTCCCCAATCTCATCCTGCTGCCATAGCCAAAGTCAACAGCTTAGTTTGCACTCATAAAACATAAAGTACACACAGGGAGAATTCACATTTGGGTCACTGTTCATTTTGTAGAATTGGGACTATGCTCTGTATTTTTCTCTGCAAACAGCTTTTCTCATTTAGCCATAAGTTGTAGATTATCCATGCAGACCAAGAGATATAGTGCTGATTCTTTTGAGTGGGTATATAATTACAAGACATGGATGAAGGTATCATAATCCCATCAACTATTCCTTGACAGATGGGGACTCATGTTGTTTCTAGATTTTTCTCTCTTCCCCGAAAAGCAGTGCTGCCCCAAATATTTGGAATAAATACCTTTATGAGCAAAAGCTTGCATTACTGCAAGTATGAAACCCCAGAAGTGGTATTTCTGGATGGGAAGGCATGGTCCTTCCAATCCCCCCACAAGCAGCTATAAGAATTTATACCTCCTCGGGCAGGGCTAAGAGCCCCTGTCTCTCACAGCCTCACCAACACTGGGAGTTTCCAATCTTGTTAATAGTAACCAGTCTCGTGGATAGGGTGTAGCTCCTCAGAGCTATCTTAATTTGCATGTTCTGGCTATGAGCAATATGAAACATCTTTCCTTCTATCTATTGGCTTTTTAGATTTCCTCTTCTAAAGACTATTGGGACTTTTTTTTTCTCTAAGGTTTGTCATTGCATTATGAGTGTGTTATGTTTGGAGCTTGATGTAAGAAGTATATTAACTTACTGAATTAGTTACTTTTCTTGTCAGGGTGACAAAATACCTGACAGAAGCAATTTAAGGCACAAGAGGTTAATTTTGGCTCACAATTTTAGAGGGTACAGTCCATCGTGGCACAGAAGACATGGTGGCTGAAACAATTGGGACCATGGCAGTGGGAACAAATGATCTGTGGTAGGAGAAATTTACAGCATGGCTTGTTCATATGTTGACAGCTCAGGAAGCAGAGACAGGACCAGAAAAGGACCCTAGCAACCCACCTTTACCAACTATGCCTCCTGTCTCAGAGGTTTAAAAACTGTCCCAAACAGTACCACCAGTTGGGGGCTAAGTGTTCAAACACAGGAACCTGTGGGGGAATATTTCAGAATCAAGCCTAACACTTACCTTCCAATATATGGGATACAAATACATCTTGCCAGTCTACCATTGGTCTTTTGACTTACAGGAGTATTTTTATAGAGACAGGGTCTCACTATACAGCACTAGCTGGCCTTGAACTCATTATGCAGCCCAGGTTGGCTTGAAACTGATCCTCCTGCCTCAGCCTCCCAAATACAGGGATTAGAGGTCTACATGCCCAGCTTTTTCTTAATGACTTTCCAGTTTCCTGTTTTGTTTAAAAACATTTCCCCAACTTCTGAAGTTTTTTTCTTATTTAAACATTCATTCTCTCTCTCTCTCTCTCTCTCTCTCTCTCTCTCTCTCTCTCTCTCTCTCTCTCTCTCTCTCTCTCCCTCTCACTTTTATCTAATTAAAATAGGCTCCATTATTACTTTCTTCTATGGAGACAGATAAACTTGGCGTTTCTGGTCTCTGACCTCAGAGTCTCAAGCACTATCAAGAGGTGCTTGAGAGATGGGTTCAAAAACTGGGGCTGGGGTATC